ATTTTGTCTAATATATGTGTGTGTGTGTGTGTGTGTGTGTGTGTGTGTGTGTGTATGTATGTGATAGACCTTTATTTTATTTATTTATATGTGGTGCTGAGAATCAAACCCAGTAGTACTTCACACATGCCAGACAGGCATGCTACTGCTGAGCCCCAGCCTGATTTTGTCTTTTTTGTCCCTCTGGAAATTTGTCTAGGTTTTCTAACTCCTATGAGGTCAAATTTGTTCATCTTCGTTTTTTAAAGTAATTTCCCTTCACCTACATTTTAACTTTCATTTGCATAGAGATCTGTGAGGTATTTTTGGTGATATTTATTTAGTTATGAATAAGTTGACATCTCAGTCTATTGCCCAGCCTGGCCTTGAACTCCTGGACTCAAGTACTTGTCTCAGCCTCCCAGTTGGGACTACAGGCACATGCCACCCCATGACTCATGGTATTTAAGTTTCCTTCTGTTTTAGAGGGTATTCTTCCTTTATATATCTGTGTTGACTCCCCTTCCCTTTTCTTGATTGAGTCAGCTAATAGTTTATTTGTTAATTTTTTAAAATGTGATTTTAACTTACTAAATTAAGCTTTACTGCTTTTGTCTCTTGACCTTGTTTATTTCAGCTTTTATATTCATTTTCCTTTCCTTACACCATCTCTTGGTTTCTTTCATTGTTCCTTTTCTCTTTTTTTTCTTTTCTTTAAACCATAGAATTAAATTCATTAATGTTTATTATTATTTCACTTTTACTGATTAAGATATTAAGTTCTGTRTATTTTTCTCTCATCATTGTTTCACATGTATCCAGTGAATTCTGATAATTATCTTCATTACCATTTTTGAAATAAATTCTTTAATTTCAGTTTGTTTCTTGCCTTTCTGTAGTATTGTTAATAATTGTTCTTTTTTTATTTCTAGGTGTTGTGGTAGGACACTTGTTAATTTCTGGTTTTATTGCATTTTGTTTCAGAAAGTGGTGTTTGTAGTGTTTCCTGTGTCCTAATATATAATCTGTTTTTGTTAATAATGTTCCACGAACACTTGAAAAGGGTGTATTTTATATTACTAGTTCTTATTATTTGGTTCATAGTTAYAAGGTATATCATAACCATTATGTTATTTAGATTTTCTTCCCTAAAAATTGCAACTTTTTAAAGACAGTCTTTCAAATCACATGTACTTTAAGCATCAGATCCCCTCCTTTATAGCCTTTGCTCTGATCTATCCACACACACCTTAGAAAATGTCAGTCAACAAATTGACTTCATGTTTTGGTTTGATAATAAAAATTAAGATTAATATTCTGGGAGTAAAAGGCTTTGGAAGTTCCATGTGAATAACCAAATACTGTTTAGTAGCAAGTATCTSTTAGATTGAACCTATATTAAGAATTATTGGGCTGGGGCTATAGCTCAGTGGTAGAGTGCATGCCTTGCGTGTATGAGGCACTGGGTTTGATTCTCAACACCACATATAAATAAATAAAGATCCATCAACAACTAATAGATAAATAAATAAAATAAAGGCATTCTGTCCATCTACAAAAAAAATTTTTTTWAATTATTTTTCTGGACATGGAGATACATGCTGTCATCCCAGCAACTTGGGAAGCTGATGCAGGAGGATTGTGAGTTAGAAACCAGATTTAGCAATTTAGCAAGGGCCTCAGCATGTCAGACCCTGTTTCGAAATAAAAATAAAAATGTTCAGTTCCTAGTAAACCCCACCTCCCCCGCTAAAGAAAAAAGGAATTATTTAAACATTTTAAATGAAAATCTATGTTATAAACTAACATTTTGTTAAGCTGCCAATTTTTACTACAAAGTGTAGCAATGTGATCAGAAAGTGTTTTTGAGGCTTAGTTAGGGCTTGAAATTAAAATGTATCTTAATTTTAGATGGAAAATGAACATAAGCCACAGATGTCTGGGAGAGGTGGAAAGCAAAACATGGGTTCTCGGGCTGGGGATGTGGCTCAAGCGGTAGCGCGCTCGCCTGGCATGCGTGCGGCCCGGGTTCGATCCTCAGCACCACATACCAACAAAGATGTTGTGTCCGCCGAGAACTAAAAAATAAATAATAAAAATTCTCTCTCTCTCTCTCTCTCCCTCCTCTCTCACTCTCTCTTAAAAAAACAAAACAAAACAAAACAAAAAAAAACAAAAGAAAAAAAAAAAACATGGGTTCTCATCAATGCTTCTAGACTTATTCCTCTTCTCTTTCATTTCTATGTAACTCGACCTCTGCCTTGTACAATCATTTCTTTCTTGGCATTAATTTCCTTTGGAGCAGTGTTTAAACTTTCCTTATTTGATACTTGAGGTTTTATTTTTTTTTCATCCTGTAATTTTCTTATGGCTCTGAAGTACATTAAAAATATTATCGACCATAAAATCTCTATAGCTACCTAATTTCTAAGAATTGAGTGAAAAATTGCATTGGAGATGATGTTTTATGGGAATTTTAGATATTGAATTCATACTCATAATCTTAGCATGCTGCTATCCTCTGGAGGTTTCAGATTGTTTTTGTAATTTCCTGGATGGTTGTTTTTGTTTTTAAAAAGACTGCTTATTTGTTTGATATTCGCTGTCCCATCTTCACACTTTGGTTTTCTGTGTAGTTATTTGGAAGGGGAAGTTTTCATTCTTCACATTGTTCTTGGTCAGACATAAGTTCTAAATTTTATTGTAGCAAAAAGGCTTTGTGGTGTGTGTGTGTGTGTGTGTGTGTGTGTGTGTGTGTGTGTATGTTTTTTTGTGTTAAGCTGGGCGCAGTAGCAGCACATGCTTATAATCCCAGCAGCTTGGAAGGCTGAGGCAGGAGGATCTTGAATTCAAAGCCATCCTCAGCAAAAGCAAGGCACTAAGCAACTCTGAGATCCTGTCTCTCAATAAAATACAAAATAGGACTGGGGATGTGGCTCAGTGATGGAATGTTCCTGAGTTCAGTTCCCAGTACCAAAAAAAAAAAAAAAAAAAAAAGTGAACCATGGAGGTGCTTGATGGATAAAGGACTGTTACGGAGAGTATTGGAAGGTGAAGTGTGTCTTAGAATGTTGACCTGATTTTTAGTAGCATCCTCATTTAACAAGAATATGTGCAGAAGTTCTCTGTCAGACCTAACATTTCTGTGAGATGATTCATTTTTGTACAAGTATTGTTTTATTCTGTTAGAGACTTGCATGACTTAAATTAACTTTACATTCTCATCCAGAAAATTTAAAACAGCTTTTTCTCTGCTGTTGGGRAATACTTTTGAGAAGAGGTGCAGCTGAACTGTGAGCTTTCCTCATTTATTCTGCCAGTAATGTCACTGTGAGCTACGAAAATGCATCTTTTCTAGATGTGAACGTTAATCTCTACTATATTTTGGCAGTCATGCTGGTGTCTTCA